CCCAAAAACACCCCGGCTCGCCGGCCCCCCCTGAGCGGTCACCCCATCCAGCCCCTCACAGCCTCAGAGAGCGAGGGCCCTGAGGCTGTGTGGCCAGCTCTGTCTCTGTTTTATCTTCAGAAGAGGAGCACCGTGTGTGCTGTGCATAAAACAGCAGAAATGCAGACAACACGCAACGAAACTATCCCCAGGGGGCTCCAGCGCCGGTGCTGGGGGGTCTCCACATGTGTGTCTGGGGTGGCACGTGTGCCCTACAGAGGGTGGGGATCACGGGGAGGGGGCTGGACAGGGGGGTGGGGATCGGGTGACCTCTCAGAACAGAAAGTACAAACAGCTGTGGAACTTGCCTCCTGGGTTCCCGCCATTCTCCCGCCTCAGCCTCCCAAAGTGCTGGGTTTATAGGCATAAGCCACTGCACCCGGCCCCGTTTCTGCTCTTAAGGGCTCAAGTGATTACCTTGGGCCCACCCAAATAAGATAGGCTCTATTTTAAGGTCAACTGATTAGCAGTGTCAATTCCATCTGTAAATTCCTTTTGTAGGGCAATGAGGGCTGAGGAGGCTGGAGCCTATCTCAGCCACTTGGCCCCCACCGCTCACATCCTTGGCCACCCCGTCCTGTTCCCAGAGCTTTGCCTGGCAGCAGCTGGCAGCCGTGGATGAGCTGGAGGTAGGAGGTTGGTGCTGGGGGTGGGAACACCTGTGCTAGGGGCAGCCGCACCTTAGAGGATCCCAAACCCTCCCCGCAGGCTCACCTCGGCCGCGCCTGCCGTGGTCTCACACGTTTGCCCAGCATGCGTGCGTCCACACCCAGACAGCGGAGGCTACCGTGCCAGCCCAGGAGCGATGTTCACACACCACGCGAACGCCCTGGCCGAGACCTGAGGGGCGGCACCCTCCAGCCACAGCAGCCACAGGACCTGCGGTGAAGCCCTGGTACAGTCCCACGGTCACCCCATCCAGCCCCTCGACAGCCCTGCGAGAGAGCGAGGGCCCTGAGTGCTGTGTGGCCCAGCCTGTCTCTGTTTTATCCTTCAGAAGAGGAGCATGCACTGTGTGTGCTGTGCATAAACAGCAGAAAGCAGACAACACGCAACGAAACCATCCCCAGGGGCCCAGGTGCCGGGCGGGGGGTCTCTTCCACGTGTTGTCTGGGGTGGGCACGTGTGCCCTACAGAGGGTGGGGAATCAAACGGAGGGGGCCTTGGACAGGGGGTGGGGCGATTCGGGGGAGGGGGCTGGACAGGGGGTGGGATCACTGGGGAGGGGGCTGGGACAGGGGTGGGATCCGGGGGAGGGGGCTGGACGTAGGGGGGTGGTGGATCACTGGTAGGGGGCTGCGACAGAGGGGGCGGGATCCACTCGGGAGCGGGCTGGGACAGGGGGTGGGGGATCACCAGGGCCGAGGGGCTGGGACAGGGGGTGGGCGGATTCACGGGGAGGGGCTAGACAGGGGGGTGGGATCACGGGAGGGGCTAGACAGCGAGGGGTAGGGATCGAGGGAGGGGGCTAGACAGGGGGGTCGGGATCCACGGGGGAGGGGCTGGAACGGGGTGGGGATCACAGGGAGGGGGCTGGACAGGGGGTGGGGATCCAACGGGGAGGGGCCTAGACAGAGGGGTAGGGATCGGGGAGGCGGGCTAGACAGGGGGTGGGGTCCACCGGGAGGGGCCTGGACAGGGGTGGGGGTCCACGGGAGCGGGCTTGGACAGGGGTGGGATTACGGGGAGGGGGCTGGACGGGGGGTGGGGATCACGGAGAGGGGCTGGGACAGAGGGTGGGATCACAGGGAGGGGTAGACAGGGGGTGGGATCACGGGGAAGGGGGACAGAGAAGGGGGCGGGGATGGCACGAGGGGGAATCCCAGCGGTGGGGGATCTGAGAGGGGGCTGGCAGGGGGGGTGGGGGAGCAAGGCACCGGAGGGATGGGGGGCTGACCAGGGGGGTGGGGAGCTCGGGGAGGGGCTCGAGATGGGTGGGGACACGGGGAGGGGGATAGAGAGGGGGCGGGGATTCAGACGGGGAGGGGGATAGAGAAACTCGGGTGGGGATCATGGGGATGGGGCTAGACAGAGACGTGGGATCTCAGGGAGGGCTCCCGAATGGGTGGGGATCACCGGGAGGGGGATAGGACAGAGCGGTGGGGGGATCGACGGGAGGGGCAGACAGGGGGGGGGCGGGATCCACGGGAGGGGGCTGGACGGGGTGGGGACTCCACGGGCAGGGGCTGGTACAGGGGGGGTGGGATCACGGGGAGGGCTAGACAAGGGGGGTGGGGATCATGGGCAGGGGGGCTGACAGGGGATGGGGAATCACGGAGGGCTCAGACCGAGGGCGGGGATCGACACGGGAGGGGATAAGAGGGGGCGGGGATCACAGGGAGGGGGATGTGGGGGGGTGGGATTCACGGGGAATGGGGAGTAGACCAGAGCGGTGGGGGATCAATGGGGAGGGGCTGGACAGGGGGGCGGATCACGGGAAGGGGCTGGACAAGGGGGGTGGGGATCACGGGAGGGGCTGGACAGAGCGGTGGGATCGACGAGGAGGGGGCTAGACAGGGGGTGAGGGATTCACCGGGGAGGGGACAGAGGAGGGGGACGGGGACAACGGGGAGGGTAGAGAGGGGGGTGGGATCACAGGGAGGGGATGGGGGGGTGGGATCCACGGGAGGGGAAGTAGACAGGAGCGGTTGGGATCACGGGAGGGGTTGGACATGGGGGCGGGATCACGGGGGGGGGGGGCTGGACAGGGGGGCCGGGGATCACGGGGAGGGGATAGAAGGGGGGGTTGGGGATCATCGGGGACAGGGGGATAGAGAGGGGCGGAATCAGGGGAGGGGAATAGAGAGGGGGCTGGGATCATGCGGGACGGGGCTGAGACAGGAGAGGTGGGGATCTCCAGGGAGGGGCTCGAGATGAGGTGAGGATCACGGGGAGGGGCTGGACAGAGGGTGGGGATCCAGGGAGGGGATAGACAGAGGGGTGGGATCATGGGAGGGGGCTAGATGCTGCTGGGGCCATGGGAGGAGTTGCCAGGCCCAGTGTCCAGGAGGGCTGGGGCACTCAGGG